AGTAAATAAACAAATAGAGATGGTACCTGCCCTCATGGAGTTTACATTCTAATGTATAAAAGGAAGATGAAAAGGGGAAATGGAGGGAGATGGTGGAATCATCTGGAGGTCAGGTACAAAAGCCTGGAGAGGGGTGAAAGAGTAGACCTGGTTGGCCCCAGAACTTCCTTGGAGGTGGGGAAAATGGGGGGGAGATTGATCTTCTGTGGGATCATGGTGGTAAAGTCAGAACTGGGAAAGGAGTGAAGTTGTACTTAGGCACTCATTTTGCTGGGAGGTCACTTAACTAAAATTGTTCCTCTGTTTCTCTAGTGAGGCTAAATGAAAATCTCAGGCTCCTAAAGGGGAAAAGGCCACAGAATTCCCAGAGTTCTCAGGTTTCCTTGCACAGTATTGGCCTGTGGGAAGCTGGGAGGACAGGTAAAGGGAATGAGTAAGGAGTGTCTTTACATAATAAAGAAATATAGTCATTTAGAAAACAGAGAAAAGCAGAAGGATTGTCTCCTGGCACATGTCACATTGTGCAGATTTCCTCCACCAGCAGAGCAGGTTGGTGAATCAGAGTAAGCAAGTCTGAAGGAGCCTAGAATCTGTTCTGTGACTTGGCCATCATCCCAGTGCCCTGGAAAGAACCAGTGGGGGCTTCCTTGCCTGTCATTCCTGCTAATGCTTACAGCTGGTGCTGCTAAGAGTCATACTGTACTCCCTCAACACCACCTTGCAAATACCTACTAAACAACTTGTCAGCCCATAGACTGGATTTCTCTCTTCACCTTAGAGGTCTTCCAATCCAACCCCCTCATTTTGTAATACAGAACCCAAGCCATCAACATTTTACAGCCCATCAGTCTTATTAGATGGTCTTTGAGTTACTGTGGACCAAAAAAAAAAAAAACAAAAACCCAACTCAAATCTGTAAACATTCATTAAGCACCTACAGTATGCCAGGCACTGTGCTAGGCACTAGGGAAGAAAGACAAAGGGAAAGAAAGGCTGAAAACAATCCCTGCTCCCAAGGAGCTCACAGTCTAATGGAGGAGACAACACACAATTATGTGCAAACAAGATGTACAGAGTAAGTTGGAGATAGTCTCAGAGAGAAAGCACTAACATTAAGGAAAGACCAAGAAAGGTTCCTTGAATAAAATGGGGTTTTAGCTGAGACTTGAAGGAAGTCAGGAGGTGCTGGTAAGGCCAGGTATGAGAGGTAGCCAGTGCAAATTCAGTGTTGAGAAATGAGGAGCAGTAAGGAGGCCAGTGTCACTGGATCGCAGAATACATACAGGGGTATAAGGCCTAAGAAGACTGGACAGGTAGCAACTGACCAGGTCTTTAAAATTGCATCTCAAGATTTTATATATTTTGTATTTGATCCTAGAAGAAGTGGGCAACCAGTGGAGTTTATTGAGTGGGCGTCAGGGTATGATGTCATAAGACCTATAGTTTAGAAAGATTACTGATTGATAATAGAGAATGGACTAGGGTGGAAAGAGACTTGAAGTAGGGAGATCAATCAGAAAGCTGTTGCAGTAATCTAAAGGTCAAGTAATGAGGGTGCAAATAAGGTTAGGGACAGTGTCAGGGGAAAGAAGAGGGCATATGTATGAGAGATGTTAGAAGAGGTAGGAAAGATAGGAGTTGGCAATTGATTGGCCATTGGTGGATACCTAGTTTGTGAACCTAGGTTCCTGGAAGTATTGTGGTACCCTTGACAGTTGTTGTTGTTTGTCTTTCATTTTCAAAGAGGACCATGACATCAGCGAGGTGATGCCATGACATTCAAGCCATGACATGAATTGGAATCAAGTAGGGAAGGGCTGTGCAAAGATATCACCTTCAGTTTCTCCTCCAGAGCCATCTGGATCCAGTGGCAAGATATAGATCAGGATGACTGGAGATGGGCCTGGATGCAGTTGGAGACCTTGGTCTTTTTAAGCTAAGCTCTTTCCCAGGACTCAGTTTGACTAAGGCAATGCCCATTCAGTGATTAAGGCTAGGTAAGAAACGATGCAAAGTATGGCTTTCCATTGCAGTCCTTGACAGTAATAGGCAAATTAGGAAGAGGGGAGGGCTTGAGGGGAAAGAGAATGGGTTCAGTTTTGGGCATGTTGAGCTTCAGACGTCTACATCCAGTTTGAGATATCCAGGTGGCAGTTGGATGTGTGAGATTGGATGTTAAGAGAGAGGGCAGGGCTGAATAACTTAAATTTGACAAATCGTCTGCACAGATAATTGAATCTGTGGGAACTGGTGAGATCATCAACTACAATAGTGTAGAGGGAGAAGTGAAGAAGGTCTAGGAGACATCCCTGATGAGATCACCAATAAAATTGTTTAGTGGGAGAAGAGACGGTACAGGACAAAGCCTTATGAGACACCTGCAGTAATATTGGGTATGGCCTGAATGAAAATCTGGTTAAGGAGACTGACAGTTAGATAGAAGAAACAGGAGAAAGCAGTATCACCAAAACCTAGAAAGAAGAGAGAAGAGAATATCCTGAAAAAGGGAATGATTGACGGTATTGAAGGCAGCAGAGAGGTCAGGAAAGATGAGGATTTGAGAAGAATTCATTAGATTTGGCAATGAAGAGATCGTTGGTAACTTTGTAGAGAGCAATTTCAGTTGAGTGATGAAGTCAAAAGCCAGATTGCAGAATTAAGAGAGTGAGAAGGAAAGGCACTAGATGTAGATGGCCACCTCAAGGAATTTAGCCACAAAAGGGAGAAGAGGTATATAGATATCTGAAAATTCAAAACCCTTCTTGGACAGGGAGTCTGGATTTTTTTGTTTATTTCTTTAATTCCGTCTCCTCTAAAATCTTATTCTAGTGGCTTGCCATGACGTGCAAGAGTGACGTCGGCTTCTTGGAGCACAGTCTAGGCCTGGTTCTACAAACTTGAAGAGCCTTTGAATAGAGGCCCAGCCCCTCTGTTACCATAAGCAATTCCCATAACTTCTCAGGGCCAGGCCTCAGCTAGTATAAATGGGACTTGACCAGTTTTTCCTGCCTCCGGTGCTGGCCCTCTATCCACTATTCCATGCAGCCTCTCTGGTGTGAATCATAGATAAGAAAACACTATCTCTTTAAAAGCTTTTAACAGGGTTTCTCAACAGGTGCAACTGCCTGAGTCCCTCTAACAGTAAAGCATCACTCTGGTAGTCTGAGATGCCCTATTTTGTTCAGTGACCCAAGAAGTCATTTCTTGTCCTTTTACTTCAAAACTCCATGAAGTTGTGTGTAAGCTAAGCTAAGTAGCTACTGAGAACCATCTTAAATGTGTGACACATTTGGCAGAAGGCAGCAAAGAAGAGGTTAATGGATAATTGCAGTGTATCATTCTTCATAAACACAATTATTAGGATTAATTGTTTTCATGTTTTCTTTGGCACAGTTTATTTTACTTAGATTAAGGGAGATGAATGCAGAAATGTGCACACGCATGTGGTATCAGGAAGAATATTAATAGCATGTCTAATGACGCTGACATCATAGTTGGGGAGGGAATGCAGTGATAATCCTTTAGAAATGAGTAATGGAGGTGAAGCTGTCTTCTCAGACATTGGGAGCCACTTAAGATGCGTCACCTACTTTTACTTAAAATTGTCCCAACCTCTTAGGATTTTAATTATTCCAATTCTTTCCTACTTTCTCTTGCATCTGCAGCATTTTCTAAGGGCATTTTTTTCCCCCTTGAGAAAACTGCAGACACATCCCTGGTAAAGTATCACTTCATTGACCCGGAGAGTTAAGGCTAGGCTCAGTGCCAACCAGACAGAGGCTTTAGCAATGTGAGTCAAGAAATTTTTCTCAAGGTACCTTAGCTCCTGACGTCTGTGGAATAAAATGAATGAAACTGCCTAGAATCGTCCTGAAGATGTACATACATGAGTTGCCTCCTGTTGTCAATTCAGCATATTAAGGAGATGACATTTTGCCCAAGAGATTAATTGAACCCCATGTCTACAACTGGATCTGTGGATTGAGGGCTCCAGAAGTTGCCATCCAGGGGCAGACAGGCCAGGAATAGCTTCCATTTTCTATAGGTCAACTTGTAAGAAAAACAAAACAAAAAACAATAAAATGGAGTGTGTATACACCAAAGCTTATTTGATTTGGAAAATGTATTTGCCCCTGATAAAAAGTTCTGGACTGTTCTCATGAATTGTCTCAATTGAGTTAGTAGCTCTTTCAATGCTCAGCTTCAGTGAGCTCACTGATCCTAAAGTTGGACCTTTCCCAGAAGCTGCAGGGTTTGACACATCTCATACTTTGTGCAGAAGACCTGGGCTTGAACCCTAGATCTTCCACTTACTACCTGTGTGATCATGAACCAGTCTCTTAAACAATTTGGGCTTTAGTTTCTTTATCTGTAATATGGTGGGGGTAGAGGGAGGAGACTAGATGCCTTGAATTTGTTTTTTTGTTTCTTTTTTTTGGGGGGGTGAGTTTTTTAAAAACCGTTAGTTTACAGTGAATTATAGCTTATTCCCCTTATAGTTTCATGGGATGCTCAGACAGTCTAGATCATAAAGTTATTTCTTTCTGGTCATAAGAAAACCTCGTTTCTAAAACTTCAATGTGTTTTTTTTAAACTTTTTTAATCCTTTTTTTTCCATTACCCTCTCTTCTCCTACCCCTTCCCCAATCAATAAGAAAGCAAAGAAAACAAAACTTACTACAAATACATATAGTCATACAAAACAAATTTCATCATTAGCTATGTTCTTTCCCCCACTGGAAAAAAAAAAGCAAGAAGGAGAAAAAAATGCTTCAGTATGCACTTTAGTTCATCATTTCTCTAAATGGAGTTGGTTAGCATGTTTAATCATGAGTTCTTCAGAATTAGGGTGGGTCATTGTATTGTAGATGCCTTAATTTGGGCTACTATTTGTTTTATCTCTTGCTGAAGACCAAATAGGTAGGTAGGTAGCCAATATGATACATTAAACATTTGGGTGGATGATAGCTTTTAACTAATGGAAATTTTCTCTTTTACAGTGCTCATTTTTGCCAAAATTCTCCATTCACATAGAAACTAAGTATGAGGACAACAAAGGAAGCAACAATAGCGTGAGTATTTATTTTTTCTGATCCGACTAGATAAATTCTAACTCCTGGAAGGGGCTTTGAAAATCACATTGCTCTATCCTTATTGGGCAGACTCTGAATGCAGTGCAGCCAGAAGCAGAACAGTACCAGAGTCAAGATCCCAAGCAGTTTTTACTTTTTTGTAGGCAGAGAGTTTCTGGCCTTGGAATCTGACCTTTGGCACAGAATTTGTCTGTAGAATTATCTTTTTTAATGTGGTGTTTTGGTGTTTTGGTTTTTTGATTTTTGGTTTTTTTTCTAGTTATCAATTCCCCTGTGGCGATTTTGTTTCTTTTCATTTCTAACAACTTCTTTTAGGCTTCTGCGTCACTACCTTTTTAGAAAGCTGTTGAGAGTTAGAGGGAGGGATGTTTCCTTGGGGGAGAGATCAAAGACATTGGGATCCAAGACTCCTGGTTTCTGTTCCTGATCCTATCAGTTATTTGGAACAGATTAGCCAACCTATTGGGGAATGGGGGAATGGAAGGTCAGCTTTCCTTTAATAAAATGTTTATGGATGCTTTTACACCACTGTCACTTCCCTAGAACCCTCCTTTGTATATACAAACCAAAATAGTTAAGTAAAACATTGTCCAATATTATATCTGACTATACATGCAACATTTGACATCTGTAGTCCACTCCAGTTCTACCAGGAGGACAAAAGTATTCTTCACTCCTCTGGAACCAAGATGGGTGATTTCATATAAGATCAATTCAGTCAGTCAGTCAGCAGACATTTATCAGGCACCTACTCTGCCTAGTACGTGGATGTCTTTTAATGTTGGTTTCATTTAAATGAATATATTAGTTGCATGTATTCTTGTGATTCTACTTTTGCCCTTCATTAGTTCATACAAGTCTTCTCGGATTTCTCTGCAATTCTACCTGTTGTTATTTCTTATTGCATAGTAATCACCACATTACATTTATATATCACAGTTTGTCTAGCAATTCCCCAATAAATGTTTCTACTTTTTTGCTATCGCCATAAATTTTGTTTATCTCCAGTTTATCTCCATAAATTTTGTTGTGTATGTGGGACCTTTCTATCTCTGATATCCTTAATAGTATTTTAATCACAGTTGGTAATGTTTCTAAGAAAATAATAGTATGTATGGAAATTCCAGTTTTATTTGGTGTTTGTTAAATTTAGAATTTAAAAAAAATCATAGTGTAAAATATTATATTTTCTCTAGATTGATGGTACTTATACTGTGTGTACATAGCTCAGCATCTAATGAATGAGTCCTACCTTTTGGAGAATCTTAACTGTTTCAGCAAAATTTGATGTCTCTAGTTGAAAAGGTTGCTATGTACCTAACAGAAAAGGGACCAAATAACGAGGTATTAAACTGTAAAATGTGACCATGCCAGAGATGATCCCTTTATGAGGCATGAATGAGGCTTTTGAGTGAATCAGAAAGGAAGCAGCAACTCAGTAAGATAACAAGTAACTCATTCCTCTGGGTGACCTTTAGAACTCATTTCACTGAGTTGAAGAGACAGACTCAAAGAAGAACCCAGTTCCTGATGGATCAAATAGAAGATGCTTGGAACTGGAGAAGGGGAACCTATAAGAAGCACATGGAGCTAGAGAGCACTAATACAGGCAGTGGTAACTTCACAAAGAAAAGGGGGAGAACTTTGAGAGAGCCTCGGGTTGATCAAGCACAGGCTGTGCTGGAACCCAACCTGTATAGCTGAAAATCATCAAGGAAGTAATCCTAAATCTCTGTTTTCCCCTTTAAGCTCCTTCATGGGAGCCTGAACACAGTTCAGTCATTTTTAGTTGCTTCCAACTCTTTGTAACCCCATTGGGAGTTTTCTTGGCAAAGATACTGAAGTGGTTTGCCATTTCCTTCTCTAGCTCATTTTATAGATGGGGAAACTGAGGCAGACAGAGTTAAGTGACTTGCCAAGGGTCATACAGCTAGTAAATGTCTGAGGACAGATTTGAAGTCAGAAAGATAAGCCTTCTAGACTCCAGACCTAATACTCTATTCACTGTACCACCTAGCTGTCCATCAACATTATTAACAGTCAGTTAACAGTCAGTATTTCCTGGAGGGCTGTATTTAATTGAAAATATATTCAATCCTAATAATTAGTAGCTTGAAGAACAAATTATAGAACAATACATAATTTCATCAAAGAAATTGACAACTACATATATTTACTAAAACATTTGAGAGCAGTCTTTAGGGGCAATTTTATTTCTCTAAACATTTTCATGAACAAAAGAAAGAACAATTAAACAACTATTAAATGCAACAAAAATTTTTTTTAAATTCAAACTGAATGCCATAATAGAAATTTTTAAAATTAAAAAAGTGATAAACAGAATTGAAAGCAAAAAAGACACTGAATAATTTATCTAGATAATATCTATCTAGACATTGAATTATCTATCTAGATAAAACTCAGCTTAAAAAAATTTTTTTTTGAAAAACAAAGATGAACAAAGATTTGGCAGCAATAGTGATAGAAAAAAAGAGCATAAATAAAACATTTAAAAATACACGAAACAGACGGGTCAGTATTGAGAGGGAGAACATAGACAAGCAAAGCAATTTTGATACTGTCGTGTAAAACAATGCATATTTGAAAGAATAAGTTGTAAGATTTGCATTCATATACATTCTTCATTATCTAGCCATTGTTTATGTTTGTTGATGATTTTCTGGTTCATAAAGTTTTTATAAGTGCTTTATCAAAGAAATTTCCAGTAAAGTTTTTCCCTCAGGTGCCTTTTCATTTTAATTATAACTGCTTAGATTTTGTTTTGCAAAAGCTTTTCAATTTTGTGTAATCAAAATTATCCATTTTATTTTCTGTAACTGCCCTTTATGTAGTTAAGAATTCTTCTTATCCAGAGTTGTAAACAGTATTTTCTTCACTTCTCCTGTAATTTCTATATGATATATCCATTGGTACCTTAGTGTGGTTGATGTGTGAGATGCTGGCCTAAATATAATTTCTGCCAGCCTACTTTCCAGTTCTTCCAGAAGTTTTTGTCAAAAAATAATAGCTGACATTTATATAGTGTCTGCTATGTGCCAAACAAGGTGATTGAAAATAGGTGCTATCATCCCCATTTTACAGATGAGGAAACTGAGGCAGATAAGGGTTAAATGACTTCCCTAAGGTCACACAGCTAGTAAATGCCTGAGGTAGGATTTGAATCGAGCTCTTCTTTACTGCAGACATATCTACAGTGCCTCCTAGTTCTCCGTAGTGAGTTATTACCCTATTAGTTAGTGTCCTTGAATTTATCAAACACTGTAATATAAATAGTATTTTTATTTCATTATATTAAACATGGCCCAAACATGGGGCTTTCTCTTTTATTCTCTAGTCTTCCTTTATTTCTATAAAGATTATATTCTTATAAGTCCTCAGAGTGTTTTAGTAGATAAATTCCTTAGGATTTTATGTAACCTGTAATTATTTTCAGTTAAATTTATTTTTCTGTTATGTTTTTAAGATTTTATTAGTAATATGCTAAAAGGCTGATTATTTTTGTGGTTTTATTTTATAGTCTTGCTTTTGGGAAATTATTGTTCTAGTTAGTTTGCAAATATATCTCTAGAGTTCTTGATGTAAACCATCTTATCATCTGCAAATAGCAATAACTTTTTCTTCTTTGCTTAATGTTTATTCCTCCAGTGGCTTTATCTTGTCTCATTGTAATAGTTAGCATTTCTAGAACTATATTAAATAATAATGATCCTCTTGCTTTGTCCCTAATTTTATTAGAAAGACCTGTAATATTTTTCCATGACATAAAATGTTGGCCCTTGCTCTTAGATAGAAACTGTTTATCATGTTAAGTAAATTTATTCCTAATTTGTACAGTGTTTTTAATGTTTACATTACATTTTTTCAAATTCTTTTATTACATATATTAATAGTAATTGTGTGATTTTTATTGTTTTTAAAAGTAATATAACCTATTCTGTTTATAGTTTTCCTAATGTTGAACAAGCCCTATATTCTTAGTATAGTCCGATCATTGTCTATAATCCTTTTAATATGTTGTGATAGCCTTTTGGCTAATATTTTCTTCAACATTTTTGCATCAATATTCATTAGAAATAATTGATCTGTGTATACTCTTTAGTTTTGGCTTGGAGTTGTTGTTATTGTTGTTGTTTGTTTTAAACCTGGACATTCTGCACATTGGCTCTGACATTTCTGGGTATTTTCAATTTAATTTTTCTTTAGGATGGTGACCTGTGGATTCGACTTTAATCTTTCTTTCTTGGTTTAATAGTTCTAGACAGTTTTATTATATGACTTCTTGAAATATATCATCCAAGTTTTCTGTTTGGTAATCTTTTTTAGTTAGTCTTATAATTCTTAAATTATCTCTCCTCAAACTGTTTTCCAGGTAATTTGTTTTTATTAATAGGTACCTTATATTTTTTTTCATTTTTGATACCCCCTCTTTTTAAAAAATATTTCTTATTTTCTAATAGAATCCTTAATCTATTAAATAAATAGAATCAAAATAAATTTTATCTTTAGTGTATTTTTGTAGAGAGCCCAGGTTTTTCGCCTAATGATATAATATTTTTATCTCCTCATGTGTTCCTCAGAAGCTATAATTTCATTTTTAAAAATCTGCTTCCTTTCTTCTATCAACTCTTAGAGCTGTTCTGGTCAAGCCATTCTTTTCTTTTTCTTTCTCTGAGGATGAACTTATAATTATTATGTATTTACTAATTTTTAAATTTCTTGAATACCCATATATTCAATCACTTGCTAAGTCTTGTTGTTTTTACCTTTAATGCAATCTCTTGTATATATCTGCTTCTCTCCAGTCACATAGTTGTAATTCTGGTTTGAGCCCTCCTCACCTCTTGCCCATTTTATTGTAATACTCTTCTAATTGAACCAATTGCCTCTAGTCTCTCCCCACTCCAATCCTCCCTTTATACAGCTGCCAAAATGATTTTCTTAAAGTGTAGATCTGACCA